TACATGTACAATATTTACAATTACTTTCCAAGACCTATCACCTACGTTAGACAGTGAGCTTCTACTCTAAACCAATCCAGAAGTGTCGCCATTCCAGTAGAAGATGGAGGACAAGAAGAAGAAGAAGAAGAAGAAGAAGAAGAAGAAGAAGGGCAGGACACACCCAGATTCCTCCATCTTGCCCCTTGAACCCCCATTCTAAATCCCCAAAATTCTACATTTTCACCCTGTGACAAATTCACTATCATTCTACTCAAACTCTGGTGGTTTGTAACTCCTCACACAAGGTTGGTAATTGTTTTTTCCAAGGGCTCAATCAAAGGTACAGGGATCCTGGGCTCTGTGCCAAGGTCTCTGAGCCCCCTGCCAGGGTCTGGAATCACCCAGGGCAGCCAGAGGAATGTCCTGGGTTCTGACAGAATTCCAGCTGGGAATGGGGTGAACCTGCTTCAGATTCCACAAGCTGGGGGGAAAGAGCTGGGCTCTGAGTCCTGCAGTGCCCAGTGCTGTGTCCTCACCCTGTCACCCTTCCCAAAACCCTTTTTGGTGGCAGTCCATGAGGGGTGAGGGTGCCACACAAATCACAGATTCGGTGTCTCCCATCCCAGGAGGAAATCCCACATTTTGGACCCCACAAGGAGCCTCCAGTCCTGAGCCTGGGTGGGGGGACACGTGATGAGGGTCAGCCCAGCTGGTTTTCCAGGCTGGCACCCAGGGTGACATTCCATGAGCACATAACTCAGGGGGTAAATAACTGGGAGGGCTCCACCTTGCACAGAGGATGTGCCCCAGGACTGAATTCCCAGGGGATAATTAACAGCTCTTCGGCAGGGAGGTGGGGACAAATTGCATTTTTACTTAAGCTAAGAGCAATTATTTTTTATTATTATTCCTGTAATTGATGGGGAAAAGGGAAAAAAATAAAAGGAAAACTCTGCAGTTATAATTGGAAAGAGTTTGGAGAGGGGTTTATTGAATTATTTACACCTGACAAAGATGAGCCACTATAAACCAACTGTAGCACGAGACCTTTCCATGTTATATAGAGCTGTTAAAGGGAAATGCTTAAATATCATCTCATTTCCAATAAAAACTGCACAAAATCAATGCAGCCTTGGGACGAGTTTATATTTCACCAGGCAGCAGCTCCTAAAGAGGAGCAGCAGCATCTGCAGAAGTGTTTTGGGGGGAGTTAAAGGCATGTCCCCTCCCCAGGCACAGGGACAGGGACAGGGACAGGGACAGGGACACGTGTGTTGGCACAGGCACATAGCTGGGCAGTGCTGTCACATGGAGAGCTGCAAATATAAACGTGGGGACGTGCTGGGCACGGGGTGGCCCTTGGCAAGGTGGCACCATTGGAGCTCACCCCTCGCTGTGCCCGGGCAGGGATGGGGACACAGGGGGAATGAGGGAGCAGCAGCCAGCAGAGCCCCCCTCCCATGGCCCCAAGGTAGGTGTGGGGCACTGGGGGCATTGCCAGGGGGTGCTGGGGGGATCCTGCCATCACAGGGACCCCGTTTGAGCTGTTTGGGGGGGCTGGGAGGGGATGCAAGGTTTAAATCAGCCCCTGTGCAATGCAGGAGGCAGTGCTGCAGGCCCCTGCGCCACGCTGGAAACCTCCCTGCAATAATAATGATAATAATGATAGCAATGATAATGATAATGATAACAATGATAATGATAGCAATGCCATGCCTGCTGCCAGGGGCCAGCTGTAAATCGGGGTGGTGGTGGCAGGGGCTCTGCACATCTGGGTGTTTGACCACAGCCTCAGCAGGGCCGAGGTGTCCCCAGAGTGAGGGCTGAGCGCTGTGGCAGCAGCACACCTGGGACAGGCTCTCTGCAAACCCTCCTGCTGCTTGTGCCAGGAATGAGTTTTGCCAGGGATGGGGAGCTGGAGCAGGCAGTGGAAGCTGTTATTAATGGGGAAGGGAAATGCAGCATGTTTTGTTCAGAGAGAAGGGGCTGGAGATCCATGAGGGGGAGGCTGCAGGGGCTCCCTGTCACCCTTTTGGGCTCTGGGGTGTGCAGGGGCATCCCTGCTTGTGGAAAATCACTTGGTCTTTTTAAATTTTAAAAGTTTAATAGTAATAAAATGGTTATGAAAATAGCAATATAATTAGACTAATAAAAAATTGGGACAATTTGGATTAGGACAATATGAGACAATAAAAACAAAGATTTAAGGACGGTCCAAGGACCTTTTCTGGGCAAAATAAGCCCGAAAAAGGACCCACATTAACAGAGGATTAACCCTTAAAAAGCAACAGCCTGTTGCATATCCATACACCTCATACATGGTGCATAAATTCCAATCAAACACAGGATTCTGTCTGGGCAGTGCCGGCTTCTTCCTCTGAATCCTGACAGCATCTTCAGGGCTGAGCGAGGTGAGAAGAAGTTCATTTCTTCTGATAATGGAGCAATAAATTCTCTTCCTCTGAAAGATTTGGGTGGCTGCTATGCCAGTGCAAGTCCTTTCTTATATCTTACATAGCATAGTTTCTATTTTAACATTATGCTATAACCCAAAACTATATTTAACACACTACTTAAGAGAATTAATACAGCATCACTTTCTAACACAACACATGTAATTTTCATTTTAATATTTGCAGAAAGCCAATAGTAAAATACATGCATTTTTCACACTGCTGAAGTAAGGCCACAGCAGGATGATCCCAGGCTTGATTTTGGCAGGGCCCGGCCCTCAGGGATCACAGAGCTGTGCTGGCAGGGATGTGCCCCAGGCACACAGCAGTGACATAGTGCAGGCTGTGGGGTTTCCTCCAGCACCCAAACTCGCTGCCTGAAGGCAGCAAGTGCTCTATAAGCTGTTGGAACCCCCTTGTTTTCCTTCCACACCCCACCAGGGGGTTCTGCCCCTGCTCTGGGCAGCCCCAGGCTGTGCCCAGCTCTCCTGGCCCCTCTCTGCAGTGAGCCCCACCTTGTGCAGCCGCATTCCCTTAAACCCACAGCAGCATCCCCACAGCGCTCTCCACATCTCACAGCTCTCAGCTGGGCTGGCAGGAGCCCAGCCCCAGGGTCTGCGTGCCAAGGGTCCCTTTTCTCTCCTCTCCTGCTGTCCCAGGGTATTTTTAACCCTGGCACAGGCTTCCAGTGTTTATATGCAAATAGATGCAGATTGAGAGGGGTCACGGGGAATTAGAGCCCACAGTGTCTGCCCTGCCTGCTAAATTTACCCAGGGAGGCAATCCCTGCCCGGGGAAGGTGATCCCTGCCCTGGCTGTGAGGCAGGATTGTCACCACAGAAATATGTGACAGGGTCACCAGAGAGAGGAGAGGGACAGGAGCCAGGGCAGCTCTGGGAATGCCAACCCAGGGTGAATGATCCCTGGCTGTGCCTCTCCCTGCATCTCCAAACCCTCTGCTGGGCTGGCTGGAGGAGCCCAGGGATGCCCAGGGGGGTTTTCATGTTTTCAAATGAGGGCTTTGGAGGCTCCAAACCAACACAGAGGATGGGCACAGCAAGGTGTCCCCAACCAGCCTTGAGACCAAGGGGAAAAGAAGGACAAAATAGGAAAAACCACATAGGATGGTCTGAAATTATCTCCCAGTGCTGCTCCCATGAGCAGGGGCCATAAGGGGAGTCCTTCACCAGGAACCCCATCCCTCATGTGTGATGGTGTTTGCAGGGGTCCCAGGACGAGGGGAGAGATGAGAATCTTGACTCCATGTTTCAGAAGGCTGATTTATTATTTTATGATATATATAATATTAAAATAAAATGATACATTAAAACTATACTAAAAGACTAGAAGAAAGGATTTCATCAGAAGGCTAGAAAAGAAAGGAATGATAATGGAAATCTTGTTACTGACCAGAGAGTCTGAGCCAGCTGATTGTGATTGGCCATTAATTAAAAACAACCAGCCAAAGATGCACCTGTTGCATTCCACAGCAGCAGATAATCAATGCTTACATTCTGTTCCTGAGGCCTCTCAGCTTCTCAGGAGGAAAGATACTAGCAAAAGAAATTTTCATAAAACATGTCTGTGACACTGATGGACACACCAGGGAGTTTTTGGGGCTCCAGGGCCAGAGCTGGGTGTCACCACAGCCATGCTGGGGACACACACACACACAGAGGGGACCCTCAGGTGACTCTGGCAGCACGGGGGGTGCTGGCTCAGGGATGCTCAGGATCCCCAGGAAGGTCCCAAAATGTTCTCCCAGCCTCAGGTTGGCTCCACACAGAGGCAGTTCCAGCTGTGGTGTAACATCCCAAAATGTGCTCTGAGCAGGTTTATCCCCACAGAGCTGGGTGGCAGGGCTGGGAAGGGCAGGTTTTGTCACCCAGAGCCTCCCAGTCACGAGATGCCAGTCTCTATTCTTGTCCCCAGCACAGATCTCTCCGGTGACCTTGGGGAAAGGGGAAGTGGGAGCAGGGAATGCTCTGCTGGCATCCAGGGCAGCTTTCTGTCTGCTATACAAGGCACTGTCTGGGAGTGCCAAAGCCCCAGGAGCATTTGTACCTTGCTGCAAGGGCCATCCCAGCGTTCCAGGCTGGGCCAGCAACACGTAGCCCAGATTTTTCCACACTGCAACCACAGGACTGGAATCTCGTATGAGCACCTTCATGAAAAAAAAGAATGTAGAGGGTGGAAAATAAAATCCTCCCAGAGCTCAGAGGACACAAATAAGGTTATTGGGTGAGAGGACACAAATAAGGTTATTGGGGATGGACAGACAGCATGACTAAATTTTTTAATATTTTATTTTTCTTTTTTTTTTTTTTAGTTTCCTAAACATTAGGCACCGTTTTCCTCCCAGCCTAAACACTTCTGTCTCAAGTTGGACCCTCCAAAAATCCAGCAATTTTATTCAAGAGGTGCTGCTGCAGCACAGCCCAGTGACCACCTGACCCTCATTGTAGCCCGTGTCCATCATGCTCCAGCCCCTCTGGAGTTATAAATACTCCACAACAGAGCCTCTACTGGATTATAATTAGACAATGAGCCAAGAGGATGGAACCAATGGGCTATAAAAGCCTGGCCATTGCCCCAGGCAGGACCTGCACACCAGGAAGCACTGGCATGAGCCAGGCACCAGGAGCTGGGACAGGAAAGCTGAGGATTTCCTCCAAGTTGGACCTGGAGCATCCCTTGGGACCTCGTGCTCCCATCGCCAGGTTCTACACAGCCCTGGTCACAGGGGACCTGAGGAGCCTGCAGCTCCTGACTGAGAGGTACCACCAAGATGTCAACCTGGTCTTTGAGATCAGTAAGAACCAGCTGGAGTGGCAGGTGAAAAGCCAAGCCTCCTATGGACTCTCAGGTACTTTTCCTTTGAAGGAAATGAAAATGAAGTCAGTGGGTATTTACTAACGCTGAACAGGAGAGGTGCAGTGCATCTTGGTGCCTTAGGTGTGCCCAAGGTTTCTGGTTAGCCCACAGTTCTGGCCATTAATATTCATCACTTTTAATATTTTCTTCTCTTCTGCTCCCACTAACCCAGTGGAAGTGTAAAATCTGTGCATCCACAAGATTTCTTCAGGCTGGGGTTATGCATTCTGTGTTTTGGGAATGCTCTCAGGAGGGCTCACAGCCCAAATTCCTCATGGTTCTATCAGGAGGGATAAGATGCCCTGAGGTGATGCTCCCCATGGCTCCAGGTGCTCAGGAGATGGTCCAGGAGGTCCTGGAGCTGCAGGGAAATTCCTCTCTCTGGCTCATCCCAAACCCAGCACATCCCAAACCCAGCCCTCCATCACCCTCCCACCTGCTTGAGTGCCTTCACTCCCAGCAAAGTCAGCTTTTCCTTTCCTGGGGAATTCCTGAGCTCCCTTTAGCTCCTGCCAGCCACTTGGACATGGGGCTCGGTGCCCTGATGGCCAGCAGGGCATTGGCTTGCCCACCTGATTCCACCTGGAATGCCACTCCTGGATGAGCACACGCTGAGGGGGTTTTGTTTCCCCTCCTGCCAACTGCAGTCAGAGCCACTGAGCACAACCAGCCCCTACAGCTGCCAGAGAAAAATGGGAAAAGAGGAGTCAGGAGCTGCTTTGGGCACCAGGCTGCTGAGCAGGAGAGGGAATGCAGGGGCGGGACTGGACCAGGTGCCATCAGAGCCCCATTTATTGTATTTGCTGGGAATGTCCCAATGAGGGCAGGAATGATGAATCTGACTCCATGTTCTCGGAAGGCTAATTTATTACTTTATAATATATATTATATTACAGAATGATATACTACACTAAAGAATGCAGAAGGGATACTTACTGAAGGCTAAAAAGATAACAATGAAAACTCCTGACTCAGTCCAGAGTCTGACACAGCTTGTCCCTGATTGGCCAAAGAGCCAAAACAACTTACCGCAGAACCCAATGGAACAATCACCTGTGGGTGAACAATCTCCAAACACATTCCACATCAGCACAGCACAGGAGAAGCAAATGGGATAAGAATTGTTTTCCTTTTCTCTGAGGCTTCTCAGCTTCCCAGGAGAAAAATCCTGAGCAAAGGGATTTTCAGAGAGTGTGCATGCCACACCCATTCAAGGGTGTGACACCCCATTCAGAGGGGTGAATGCCATTCAGGGCTGTGAGTGCCACACCCATTCAGAGATGTGAGTCCCACCCCCATTCAGAGGGTGTGAGTGCCACGCCCATTCAGAGGTGTGAGTGCCACACCCATTCAGAGGTGCGAGTGCCACACCCCTTCAGAGGGTGTGAGTGCCACGCCCATCCAGGGCTGTGAGTGCCACACCCATTCCCGTGTCCCGCAGGGCTGTGGGCTCTGGAGGAGCGCCTGGAGCTGAGCTCCCCTCTGTGCCTGGCCGCCCGCCACGGCCACCCCGACTGCCTGCGGCACCTGCTGCGCCACGGGGCCGACCCCAACCTGGCCCCGGGGGGAGAGGCCCCCCTGCACCAGGCCTGCCTGGGGGCGCACAGCGACTGCGTGGAGCTGCTGCTGGAGTACAGGGCCCAGCCCAACCTGCTCAGCGAGCGCGGCACGGCCCCGCTGCACCTCTGCACCTCGCAGGACTCCCTGCGGTAAGCACGGCACCCACCCGCTGCTGGGGCTGCCCTGCTGGGGCTGGCATGGGGCTGGGACAATGGGAGGTGTCCCTGCCCTGGAATGAGGTGGGATGGGTTTGGATTTGAGGTCCCTTCTGTTGTAGTTGAGATGGAGACAGATGGAGATGCTCTGTACTAAAGCAGGCAGCCCCGATGATGAGGAGGAGTGATGCATCTGACTCCATTGATACCAGAAAGCTAATTAATTACTTTATTATCAGAAGGCTAATTAATTACTTTATTACACTATATTATTCTCTACAATATTATTCTATACTATATTTCATTGCATCCAAACTGAATCTGCACAAGCACCCGACTCAACTGCCCAGAATCTCGCAACTGTCAGCCAGCAGTCCCAACACACACATGTGGATTCAATTGGCCAAGGAATCCAAACACACCAGAATCCAATCACCAATTGCCTTCAGGTAAACAATCTTCCACAATACATTCCACTTGTGAACAACAGGAGGAGCAGCAAATAAGATAAGAATTGTTTTTTTCTTTCTCTGAGGTTCAGAGAATGTGAATTCCAGAGATATGCTTGGGAAACTGGGCCTTGCTTTTCTCTGTGAAGAGAAATGAGGGCACCACACTCCATTTCCAGATGGCTTCAAACTGGTTTTATTCTAGCAGGCATGCTTTTTAGACATTCTTACAAAGCTCAGAACTTTACACTTTACTCATTGGTTAGAAGAGACAAACAAAGGGATTATTTATTGTATTTGTGGGGTTCCCAGATGAAGGAATGAATGATGAATCTGACTCCATGTTCTCAGAAAAGTAATTTTTATTATACTATATTATATTAAAGAATACTAAACTAACTAAAGAATACAGAAAGGATACTGAATGCTAAAAAGCTAATAATGAAAACTCCTGACTCAGTCCAGAGTCTGACACAGCTTGGCCCTGACTGGCCAAAGAGCCAAAACAACTCACAGCAGAACCCAATGGAACAATCACCTGTGGGTGAACAATCTCCAAACACATTCCACATGAGCACAACACAGGAGAAGCAAATGAGAGAAGAATTGTTTTCCTTTCCTCTGAGGCTTCTCATCTTCCCAAGACAAAAATCCTGGGCAAAGAGATTTTATCAGAGAATGTGAATGCCACAATTATTGGAATAGGCAGTTGCAGGTTTCTCTTATTTATTGTCTTATTTATTCTCTCATTTATTCTCCTATTTATCTTTCTTTCTTTCTTGGTTTCTATGCCAGTGACCTTGGTAGGAAATTCTTTCAGGGGTAAACATGGATCCTCTTATCAAACATGGATCCTCTTATCAAACATGGATCCTCTTCTCAAGCTTCTCCCTGGCTCACAGAAGTTGCTGTAAAACCTCTTCCACCCAAACCTTCCAACCCAAACAGTTCTGACATTCCGTGATAACCTCTCTGTGCATCCCCTGTGCACACAGCCCAGGAGCTCTGCCTGTTGGAGGCAAAAAAGATGAAGCACAAAAAGGTGCCATGATCCATGGCAAGGCTTCCCACACACTCCCACATCTCCCCACTGCCACAGCAGAGACAAAAGGGGCATTTTGGTGCCAGGCACATTGCACAGCCTAAGTCTTCTTCCAATGGACAGCCCAGCCTCAGCCTTTCCTTCCTCCTCTTTCCTGACTATTTCCCCTAAAATCAGTGTGTCCTGCAGCCCAGATCCAGCACACTTCCCCAGGAGATGCTCAGGATGGGTTTATGGGATGTGGACCAGTGCTCCCACCCTCTCACCACACACAAGCCACAGAGGGATCCCCCTTGGTTCACAGGCAGGGCTGAGCTCCTCCAGGTGCACCCACATCCCACCCTGGATCAACATCACACAGATGAGCATAAAAATTGCCTGGAAAAATATGGAAAAGCACAGAAAAATATGTTTCTGTAGGACTTTAGGTGCCTGGATAGCTAGACACATGGAACCAGGATATTTTGCTCTTTTTCTTTTATTTCTTTTTTTTTTTTCTTTTTTTTTTTAATAAAGAGCTCAGCCACTTGATATTATCCTGATGAAATTGCTCAGGGCCACAGTGAATTCCACCACTTGTCAGCTTCCGTGGAAAGCCAGCTTGTCTTCCATCCTCTGCCCTCCAGGCAGGCAAGATTACCTGGAAGCAGGTGGTGAAAGCAAGGTTCCAGCATATCATGGGCAGGGAGAGAGTTCTGGAGAAGGGAAGCAGCCAGAGAGGGAAAGGTTTGATCCCTGCTCATCAATAACAGCCTCTGCAGGATGTCCAAAACTCAGCTATTAATCAACTCCTGGTTCAGCCAAAAACATCCAGGGATGAATCCAACACATCCTTGGTGCCATGAGGGATGGAAGGAGTGGGATGGGAGAGGGAGAATGCTGCAAGCACCTCTGGCTTTAATTCCTTCACCTGAGCTCCCTTTCCACCTCCAACCTCATCCTAAAACCCTAGTGCTTCCCTGATTTTGGGCTTCTCTCCCTAAAGAGATGGAGCCACCAAACCACCCCAGGGTGTGCAGAGGATCTTCTGGACCACAGAGGTCTTTGCTTCCAAGCTTGGAAAAAAAATAATACTATTTTATATAGATGCACTAAAAACCGGATCTGCTCTCACTGATTTGCATGTTCCATTCCCTTGGAAGGCAGAGGGGGATGGCAGCACAGCCACCAAGGGGATCAGACAGCCCCGAGGTGGCAACAACTGAGTTGTAAGGCCTGGAATATTGGGGCTTTATAATGGAAATGCTGCGAGCCCCTTAACTGCGGCGCCCGGCGCTACGGGGGCTTCTACAATAACTGAGCCAACTCCCTTGAAAGATCAAAAATTAATAGACATTTCAGACAGGGTTTGAGGTTTCGACCACTGCTTTTTCAATAGCAAAGACTTTGCTAAAGTTAGAGACTGAGGAGGTCAAGCTTTGGGTAACACAAACATTTCCTCTTTGATTAGGGGGAGACTACTTTACCTCGCCTCCTTTTTTTTTATTTTATTATTTTTTTCGTCGAGTAGTAGATTTTAGGTCATCCTTAATTTTTTACTGACAACAAAGAGCAGGTCATTGACCTACATAGAGAGCTATTTTATTTTTCTCCCTCTCGATAACAATGGCCAGAACACCTATGTGCCAGGTTCCTCTGTATTCCCATATACTCGGCAATTCACCATGGGGGCAGGACTTAAAACCTTTGAGCCTCTCAGTGACTGGGATAAAAAAAAATTATCTGGGCTTCCTTCCAGCCATTTGAGCTTCAGAATCCATGAGATTTCAACAAAAAGGATATCAGAGCTTTAATCTAGGAGCTTTTTGAAGAGATGGAAAAAAAAAAGTTCCAGTAAAGTTCAGTCTTGCCTTCTTCACTTTAGGAGCTGTTCATGCCAACGTCGGCCTATTTAGTAGAGTTCCTCTCCTTGACCTCTTTTTTACAGCCGAGATAATTAACATGGTGGGGTAAGATGAGTCTCTAAATTCACTGCACTCTCTCCCTGGCGCTCTCCCTTTTCCCTCTTAAAGCTGGGGATGATTAAAGGAGCCTGCCTTTATTGGCACCCCGAAAAAAAAAATAAAATAAAAATAATTGAGGGGGAGAGGAAGAGCCTCGGCGGCAGAGAGGGGAGGGGAGAGCGGGCGTGGGCCTGGCAGGGATGCAGGACACGGCTCCTGCCTCCCATCACGGCAGGGAGGGATGCTGAACATCTGCAGAGCCCTCCTCCAGAGCTCCCTGGATGTCCCAGGCTCCCCTCGAGGCCAGGGAGAGCCTGCCTGGAGAGGAATTTCCCCTCTCCAGCCTCACACGGGAGGACAGAGCTCGGCAAGGAAGGAGCTCTGGGAAGCCAAGGGATGGGACATGAAGGCGTCACCCCGATTTCCAGCAGAGCAATTCCCTTCTCCGAGCCTTCCCCCCACCCTGGGAGCTGGAATCAGAGCTCTCCAGCTCCTGCAAGCCCCCAGAGGTGAGGGGTGGGGGATGAAGGGTGGGATGACTCCATGCAGGAGCTCAGGGGCTCCACGCGAGGAGCACCGGGATGGGGAGCAAACACCAGGGACGGGGGGAATGGGAGGAAGGAGCAGGAAACAGGAGCTGAGCAGGAAGGCAGGAGCCTGAAAAGGCCAAATCAAGGCTCCCAAACACCAGGAGATGGGGACTCACCCAGAGGAGCCCGCTCCAGACACTTTCCAGCTGTTCCAGCATCATCCTGGGCATCTGTGGGAATGCCCGGGGCTGTGGGAATGAGCAGCACTGCAAGGGAATAAAAGCCCAGGGATATGAAAAGCCAGCATTTAGCATCATCTAGTGCTAAACCTCATCCTCTGCTGTGTTCAGCCTTGCTAAATACAGCACTCGGAGCGTTTGGGGCCATCGTTTTGGGAACCTGGGCAAGAGCAGCTCCTGGCTGGGTCCTGACAGAGAAATGAAGAGCCCAGAAGCAGCCACAGGGCTGGCCCTGCCCTCTGAGATGTGACAAAATGGGGGCTTTCACAGATAAACCTCGGGGATGGGAGGGAAGATCAAACAGGAGGTTTTTCCTTAAGGAAGCTGGAGCCTGAGCGGGGTTTTGGGACTTTGGGAATTTCCCTGCAGCCTCCGCTGCCCCAAGCTCCTGCTCCTCCTGCTGGCTGTTCTTCACATCCCATTTCTAACAAATCCCACTTTCCCAGCCTGGTGGTTTTCATCCCACCCAGTGGGAGCCATAAGGAGGGAAATGGGCACATCCTGCCCTGACTCTGTGATGGGTGAAGAGATTAAAAAAAATCAATCCCAAATCATTTTCTCCCATTCCATTTGATCCAGGAGCTCAGAGCAGGGAGCACCAGCACCACTCACCCCAAATTTAATTTACCTTAAGAGGTGACTTGTCTGGCAAGGGGATGTCACCCATCACCTGCAAATTACTTGGAAGTGAATTTAAATTAGTCAAAATTAAGCACCAGGCTGGATGGAAAACAAACTTACCTATTTTGCCATGGAATTTCTGCTGAGATAAACAGAAAGCTGAACTCAGTGTGCTCTTTCAGTATCCCCAGAAAATTGTAGAGGAGTCCTTGAAAAAGCAGCAAGCCATTGCTGGGCCTTATTTAATGGGATTTTAGTCCAATCTGGTGGCAACAACCAGGCTGAGAGTGAAAATACAGGAAGCCAGAAATGCTGGGGAAGTGTTGGAGCTCATGAATTCATCAATAGAGATTTTAGAGTTTAACCAGAGCATCTACCCAGAACCTGCTGATGCCCAGATATCCAAACAGGAGGAAAATGATCCTCCCAGGCTCCCACCTTTTCCATTCACTGGAAGAGATCACTCCTTGCTCATAAATCCCAAGAGAATAATCATAATCAGGGCCTCAAATTCCCTGCTGACAAGGATAGCCAAGACCAATAAAAGAGACCAAGAGTCTGAGTGATCCCCTCAACAGCAGCCAGAAAGCCCCAAAAAAGCCTCAGGGAGACAAAACACTCCTGAAGAAAGGGATTCAGCATCCTCGTGCAAAAAATGAAATTGGAAAGTGGGGGCCTGAGGATTTGGGAATGGCACAACCCCACCTAAATCCACTCTCAGGCAACCACAGCCCAAGCAGAGCATTTGTGCTGGAGCCTCTGGTGAGGGCTGGCACCCCTGGGAGGTGCAGAAAAAGATCCTGAAGGGATTTTTCCTGGTATCTCAGGCTTGAGGTGCACAGGAAAAGCAGCTCAGGGAGGTGTTTGTAGGTTCTGCTCTGCCAAGGACAGTGAAAATCCTCCCAGCAAACCCTTGTGGAGGTGATGAGGCAGGTCCACAAAAAGTCGAGTATGTTGTTACTAGTATTAGCATTATTAGCATTATCTCATTATTTTATTATTGATATTTTCCCCACATTCATTAGCATTCCCCTGGGCCAGGAAAAACAAGCAATATCCCGGTGCTATCCTTCCTCCCTGAGGTTCCTCTTTTCCCCATTCCTGCTGCTGGAAGGGTCAGGCTGGGACTTCTCTCTCTCTCATGCTGCTTCTGTGTCAGCCCAGACCCTCCCCCAGGGCTCCAGTGGCACCTGAGCTGACAGAAAAGATGAAAATTAGAGAGGCAGGAGGGGGTTAAAGGTTGGTGCTTCTCCCTTGGACTCCATGATCCTCGTGGGTCCCTCCCAGCTCGGGATATTCTGTGATCCTGTGAAAACACAATCCTCTGGAGCAGGAGCACAGCACAGGTGTGAGGTCCCTCTGAGGGAGAGGGAAAATCCATTTTTATATCCAAGCAAGTGAGGCTAGGGTGGTCAAGGGGTTCAGAAATGGTCAGGGATGGTCAAGGATGGACCAGGACACTCAGGATGGTGAGGGGTGATCAAGGTGGTGAGGGATGGCCAAAAACGGTTGAGGATGGTCAGGGTGGCCAAGGAGAGTTGAAGGCAGTCAAGGATGGTTGAGAATGGTCAAGGTATTCAAGGATGGTCAAGGCATTCAAGGATGGTCAAGGCAAAGGACAGTCAAGGATGGTCAAGGATGGTCAAGATGGCTAAGGACAGTCCAGGATGGGCAAGGATGACCATCCATGCATGACCCTGGTCAAGGGGCAGAGGGAGATACTGCCGAAACCACCACTGCCCTCACTGTTGAGGGCACCAGGGCACAGTGCCACCCTCCCAAAAATCCCACCTCCAGCATGACTTCCCCCCTCACCCCCCCCCACCATCCCTCATGGCTCACCCCACACCACCCCAAACCCCTTCCCACAGGTGTGCCAAGCTCCTGCTGCTGCACGGAGCGGCCGTGGAGCTGCCGAGCGAGGTGGGAGGTGACACTGCCCTGCACGTGGCCGCCAGGCACCGTCTCTGCCACCACGCCCGCCTCTACCTGCGACGCTGCGCCCACGTCGACGCCCGCAACGCGCGCCAGGAGACGGCGCTGGGCGTGCTCTGCGGGCAGGCCCCGGCCCAGGACGACCCTTCCCTGCAGCTTTTCCAGCTGCTGCTCAACCACGGCGCCGATGTGGAGGCACGGGACGAGAGTTGGAGGCGGCCCCTGCACCGGGCCTGCGGGGTGGCCAACGCCGAGCTGGTGCGGCTGCTGCTGCGGCGCGGCGCCGACGCCAACGCCATCGACTACGACGGCGTGTCCCCGCTGGGCTGGGCCCTGCAGGCCGCGGCCTCCCGCCCCGAGCTGCGGCCACACCGCACCGTGCAGCTGCTGCTCAACCACGGATCCCAGAGGATTTGGCCATCGGCCTTCAGAAAGGTACAGGCCCCAAAAGGGCTCCCAGAGGATTTGGCCCTCAGCCTTCAGCAAGGCACAGGCCCCAAAATGGTGCCCAGAAAATTTGGCCCTTGGCCTTCAGAAAGGTACAGGCCCCAAAATGGCTCCCACAGGATTTGGCCCCAGGTCTTCAGCAACATACTGGTCCAAAAAATGGCTCCTGGAAAATTCGGCCCTCGGCCTTCAGAAAGGTACTGGCTCCAAATGACTCCCAGAAAATTTGGCCCCAGGCCTTCAGAAAGGTACAGGCCCCAAAAGGGCTCCCAGAAAATTCATCCCTCGGCCTTCATCAAGGTACAGGCCCCAAAATGGCTCCCAGAGGATTTGGCCCTCAGCCTTCAGCAAGGTACTGGCCCCAAAATGAGTCCTAGAGGATTTGGCCCTCAGCTGTCATCAAGGTACAGGCCTCAAAATGGCTCCCACAGGATTTGGCCCCAGGTCTTCAGCAACATACTGGCCCAAAAATGGCTCCTGGAAAATTTGGTCCTTGGCCTTCAAGGTACCGGTCCCAAAAGGGCTCCCAGAGGATTTGGCCCCAGGTCTTCATCAAGGTACCAGCCCCAAAATGGCTCCCAAAGAGCGGCTGGCATCCAGGGGGTTGAGGTTGGATGTAGTTGTTAATTGCTGTGGTGTTGTTGAGGGTCCCCAGGAGAAGGTGAGAGATGAGAATTGACTCCAAGTTCTCAGAAGGCTGATAAATATGATATGATATGATATGATATGATATGATATGATATGATATGGTATGGTATGGTATGGTATGGTATGGTATGGAATGGTATGGTATGATATGATATGATATGATATGATATGAGATGATGATATTATTATATGAAAATTATATACTAAAACTACACTAAAAAAAAGAGAGACATCAGAAGGCTAAAACAGGAATGATAATAAAAAAACCCAAGACTGACCAGAGTCCCGACACAGCTGGACTGGGATTGGTCATTAAGTTAAAGCAATTCACGTGCTGGGTAAACAATTCTCCAAATCACATTTGCTCCATGGAGAAAATCCATGGAGCACAGGAGCATCCGTGTCTGTCGGGGTCACTGCTCACCATGGTGGATGGATGGCTCCATTTTTAGTCCTGGTTTTCCCAGGACTGAATTGTGCTTTTGACTGGAAATTTGTATAGGTTTATTTTTTTCCCCCTTCTAATTGTGCTTTAAGTATTGCAGTCCAGAGGACCAACACATGGAGAAGCTGAAGCTTCCCAGCTTCCCAGGAGAAGAAATCCTGCCAAAGTGATTTTTCATAAAATATGACAGTGACAGTTGGGAGATTTGGGACATCTGAAGGTGGCAGGGTGGGAGAATTTGGGAGAGCTTCCCAGTCTGGGCAGGGGTTGGGGAGTGATGGAAGTCAAGGCCCAGCAGAAGGGCAGGATGGAGCCAGTGTGGCTCAGAGGGGTTTTTCCCTGCCTAGAGAATATCAGAGACAGGCTTGGCACATCAGCTGCCTCGTGGCTCTGCGTTCCATTGGTTTTACACCAAACCATAAAGAAAATATTATCCTGCCTTGTCAGGCACAAGCCAAAAATGTAAATAAGGAGCAAGGGCTGCATCCAGAGGAAAAAATGCCTCAGCGGGGTGGGAATTCCCACTGCTGCAAAAGGCACCAGGAGAAACTCCACACCTGCCCCATCCCAACACGGGGCTGTCCCAGCCTGGAGCAGGGTGGGGTGGGACAAACCCCAGCTGTTGCAGGTGAGTGTTGTCCTCTCTGGCCCTGCCTCTCTGTCTGAGCCCTCCCACCATCCCTGGACAGGTGCTGAGATCCTGTGCAGCCGTGCCAGAGGTCATCGAGGTGCTCTTCAACTCCTACTCCCAAATCCCGGTGTCCCAGGAGTGGAGAGAGGCCGTGCCACAGGAGGTATTCCAGGTGAGGCAGCCCTGCTGCTTTGAGACCCTAGGAGAGGGTTTTCCCCACAGAATTAGGGTTTATTTTCCCACAGACTTGTTTTTCCCCCCCCCACCCAGACTTCACTGGGATGGAAGAGAAACAAAAGAAATTTTCCCTAGAGCAGCACCACACACCTGATCCCTCCAGGCTTGCATCCCTCCACCTTCACCATGCTCAGACCCCACATCCCTGCCCCAGCCTGCCATAAAATCCACTCTCAGCCTCTGGAAGTGAGCCTGGAGCCAGAGCACTTCCCAGCAGGAGCCCACATCTCTCCTATTGGTTGGAAAAGCTCCTCCTTGGATGTGCAACAGGTACAGGCAGCCCACTCTGGGGTGATTTGGGATGACTCCTGGCCCCACAGGCTGTAAGGAATGGCTGGAATGCTAACAAAGCCTTCACCATGCTCTGAGGAATGGGACAAAGGATTTTATCCCCCCAGATTAAGGAAAGGGTGAGGCTGCACAGCCCAATCCTGCTTTGTTTCCCAGTTCCCTCAGGGGCAGGCTCTCTTCTCCATCAGCTTTCTGTGGGATGCTGCTGCACCCTCTCCGAGACTGGCTTCCCCCAAGGTGCTCCCAAAGGAGAACTGATGTCCACAAGGTCCCAATTCCACAGGAGAATTGCAGTCCAAAAGGCCCCAGTTCCACAGGAGAATTCCAGTCCACAGGGTCCCAGTTCCACAGGAGAATTCCAGTCCACAAGGCCCCAGTTCCACAGGAGAATTCCAGTCCACAGGGTCCCAGTTCCACAGGAGAATTCCAGTACAAAAGGTCCCAATTCCACAGGAGAATTCCAACCCACAAGGTCGCAGTTCCACAGGAGAATTCCAGTCCAAAAGGCCCCAATTCCACAGGAGAATTCCAACCCACAAGGCCCCAATTCCACAGGAGAATTCCAGTCCAAAAGGCCCAATTCCACAGGAGAATTCCAACCCACAAGGCCCCAATACCACAAGAGAATTGCAATCCAAAAGGCCCCAGTTCCACAGGAGAATTCCAGTCCCCAAGGTCCCAGTTCCATAGGAGAATTCCAGTCCAAAATGCCCCAATTCCACAGGAGAATTGCAGTCCACAAGGCCCCAATTCCACAGGAGAATTCCAGAACCCCTCACCCACCCTTTCCCTGTTGCCCGTTCCCCATACCCACAGCCACACCTGAGCTCCTTCCCTCCAACCTTCATCCCTGAACACCTCCAGCTCCTCTGGCAGCCAGGAGAGGTGTGACCCCGGGTGGCAGAGCCCCTGTGGGTGGCACTGTCCCCGTTGTCCCCTCTCTGCAGCAGCACCAGGCATTCTACGAGTCGCTGCTGGGGCTGGCGGGCACGGCGCGGAGCCTGCAGCACCTGTGCCGTGCCACCATCCGGGCACACCTTGGGGACAAGTGCCACTGCCTCATCCCCCTGCTGCCCCTGCCCAGGGGCCTGCAGGAATTCCTGCTGCTGGAGCCCCAGGGAGTGGTGCTGTGAGGGGGCACAGCCAGGAGCACATCCAGGAGCATCCGTGTCTGTCGGGGTCACCGTGGTGAGTGAATGGCTCCATTTGTAGTCCTGGTTTTCCCAGGAATAAAATGTGCTTTTGGCTGGAAATTTGTAGAAGTTGATTTTTTTCCCCCCTTCTAATTGTGCTTTAAGAAGATTACAAAGAGTGATAAAATTATTAGTGGCTGGTAAGAATAATGCTGATCGTAGGGGATCCCTGCAAAGCAGCGGGGGCTGCTCGGGTGTGGGAAGGGAGGGACAGGGCAGGGGACACAAAATCAGCCCAGGGGACACAAATCAGCCCAGGGGACCCAAAACAGCTCAGGGGACCCAAAACAAACCAAGAGACCCAAATCAGCTCAGGGGACAGAAATCAGCTCAGGGGATCCAAATTAGCTCAGGGGACCCAAATCAGCCCAGGGGACCTAACCCAGCTCAGAGGAACCAAACCAGCCCAGGGGACCCAAAGCAGCTCTGGGGATCCAAAACAGGGGATCCAAATCACCTCAGGGGACTCAAATCAGCCCAGGAGACCCAAAAGAGCTCAGGGGACCCAAATCAGCTCAGGGGACCCAAATCAGGCTAGGAGACACAAATCAGCCCAGGGGACCCAAATCAGCCCAGGGGACCCAAACCAGCCCAGGTGAGCATCAAATCCCCTGGGATAAATCTCCCCTGCGAGTGGTGCAAGCAGAGGGGCTGTGTAGAAGCCCTCAGCATGTTGCAAAGTCTAGCAGCATTAATAAAGACCCTAAAATTGATTTAAATTCGATTTTTTAAAAAAATGTAGGAGCCACCTAGAATGTTGTGGCTGCTCCATGCAGCAGGGTGACACAGCTCCCTGTATGTCCCAGACCCTCCCATACCCCTTGTGCCTGTCACTGTCCCCAGGCTGGCACGGAAGGGGGCTGGAAAACCCAAATTTGTGCAGGTTGGGCTTTCATTTCCCACAGTCACCTGGCCAAAGGGAGCAGGACAAGCCAGGATTTACCCTCAGGCTCGCCAGGTTAATTCCTGCACACGTGCATCCCTTGGGAGAACAGCTGTCCTCCTGCCACAGTGCTCCCCAAAATTCTTCCAGCGCTCAATTACACCTGGGTTTGGTGTGGTTTAAAAAAAAAAAAGAAAACCACACAAAATTATATGTATTGTATTTTTAATATATGAATATACATAGTAGACATAATTGTGTGTGTATAAATTCATATATATACATATATACACATACATACACATATATACATACATACACACATATACACATATAAATAAAAATATATATTAGATATAATTGTGTGTATATATTCACATATGTATACATACACATACATGCATATATTTGTAAATAATTATAGAGAAATATATAAATTTCTATTTTGCTATATTTATATATTTATAAATATAGATATAAGTTTATATAGAAATGGATATTTTTATATAAAATTTTCAGTATTTATTTGTATATATTATCTATTTTTTATTATATATATAATATATATACATTATATAAAATAAAATTTACATATATTATATATAAAAATTTTTTATATATTTATATATATGTTAAAATATTTATATATATTATAAATTAATTTATATTTTTCTATTATTATTATTTATATCTTTATATAAAATTTTGTATATCATATTCTATATAGAATTTTTATTTATTTATATATAAGTAATATATAAAAATTATTGTAATATAATTTTTATAATTTTATGTGAATTTATATCTAAATAAATATTTTATATTAAAATTTATGTTTATTTATATATAAAAATTAAATATATTTTGTATATAACTATTTATATTTTATATGCAATATTTATATATAAATTTTAATATAAATTTCTATATTTATTTATATTTTAAATTTTTTTTTTTAATATGGATAATTCATTTTTCCTGTCTGGCTGGACTTTGCATCCCTGGCTCACAGAGATGCGGCCCTTGGAGCATGGAAATGAGGAGGAGAAGGAATTAAACAATTCTTTCCCTCTCCCATCTCCCACCTGCTGCTTCCACAGCGTCCCTGTCCCTCCATGGACAGCCCGAGCGCTGCCAGCCCTGCCCCGCGCTGTGTCCCCAACATTTTGTGCCTCCCGGGTGCCCCCATCCCAAACCGCCGTGCCTGGGGGACTCCGGGATTTGTTTGGGTGGGAATTGTCAGGGATTCAGGCAAATCCCATCCTGGCTGAGCCGTCACCCTCATCTGAACCAAGCCAAGCTCAATGTCGCTGCTCTTTGTCACCTCTGTCACCTTTTACCTCCGTGTGGGATGAGGGGGACACGGAGAGCGCCAGCAGGACACCCAAAAACCCCCAAAACCCAAAAACCACAGGGGTGGAACGGGGAATGCACCTCAGAGGGGACACTAGGGGACAGAGGGAGATAAGGGGGGACAAGACGGGGACAGGAGGGGATGGGGAGGGACAGGGGGTGACAGGAGGGGACAGCAAGGGACAGGGCGTGACAGGAGGACAGGAGGGGACAAAAGGGGACAGGAGGGGACGGGGAAGACAGGAGGGCACAGGGGGGGGAACAGGGGAGGACAGGAGGGGACAGGAGGTGACAGGGAGGACAGGAGGGGACAAGAGAGGACAGGAGGACACGGGGGTGACACTAGCGGGGGGTGCATTGCTCCCCGCGGCCGGCAGGGGGCGCGCTTTGCTCGGCCGTCGGGGGCAGCCGCGACGCCCCAAAAAGAGCCGAAAAATGAGATTTAGAGGCCAAAAAAACCCCTAAAAAAACGGACTCCGAGCCCCCGGGGCTGGCGAGGGAGGTTCTGCCCTCGGTTCGAGCCCTTCTGCCCGCGGCGGGGGCAGCGCGGCGGCCGGAGGATGCTCCGGGCGGGATGGTGCTGGTGCTGGGGATGATGGTGATGATGCTCCGGGTGGGATGATGATGATGATGATGATGATGATGATGAGGCTGATGATGATGATGCTCCGAGTGGGATGATGCTCCAGGCTGGGGTTGATAAGTTTGGCGGGTGTTGTATATATATATATATATATATATGTATATGTATATATATATATATACTCTAAATTATATATACTCCAAATACAGATTTTTAGATTTTTTTTTCCTTCCTGTCAGCGCCTTGTTTTGATGCAGATGTTGTCGGTTTTTCGGTTTTTTTGGAGGTTTTTATTATTATTGTTATTATTATTATATTTTTGGCTATTATTATTATTATTTTCCAGCAGCTAAAGACGGGAGGTCACATTAACTTCTAATACGGAGACACATAAAAATGCGATTATGCCTGCTAAACAGAACACAGTAGGCTGCTAGTTAAGACAATGAGATTTCCAGGAAGCGATGCATAAATTCTTCAAAAAATGACACATTTTTCACGTTTCATTCCAATTAAATTACTGAGGCAGCTAACACAGCGCTGCGCACGCCATACATTTGGGGGAAATGAAGGCTTTCTGTGTTTTTTCTCTTCTTCTTTTTTTTCTCCTTTTTTTTTTTTTTTCTTTTTAAGTAGATCTGGATGTGCGTGTTTTATGAAAGACGTTTAATATTAAGCTGCTATTAAGGCAAAAAATGTCAGAGACCTTCCTCTCTCCTCGAGGATTTTATTTTTTATTTTTTTTTCCCCTCTGTGTGTGTGTGTGTGTGGTTGGGCTGCTCCTGCTCGTTTTCCCACCCTGCGGTATTAAAGCACCGATGGTCCAGCTGCAAAACAATTTCCAAATAATGGGAATTCCCCGCCCTGCTGCACACACCTCTCTGATTGCGAGGAGCTGGGGAGAATTAAGGAGCGATGCGCGCCCTCCCACCGGAAAATACAAATAAAATCACATAAAAATAATAAAAATAATTTGAAAAAAAAGAAGGTTTTGCCGTCCCGTCGGGTGTTTTGTCCCCTCTGGAGCAGGATGGAGCCCCCCCCGGGATGCAGGGGGTGGTGATCCCGGTGGGAAGCCGAGTTTGCCTCTCACCATCCGAGCAGGGGCTCGTCAGGGCGATAATCAAACCCCGAAGTGGCCCCGGTAATGAAACAGCGTTTGATTTCCTTTATTAATTTATTTATTTATTTATTTCAATTTTTTTTATTTTGATTTTTAAAGCTCGGGCTGCGCCGGGCGATCCGCAAAGCGCAGATACGAATCAGAAATGAGATTTCTTTTTCTTTTTTTTTTTTTTTTTTGAAGTCCTAATGAACCTGATTGCAGGAACATTTATAATCCCCCATGGCTTTAAATGAAATCAGATATAATCAGGAGCTATGGGGAAAGGGAGTGTTTACAGGCAGAGATTGGGAAGTGCTGCTGTATTAGCAAAGATGCTGCTCCTTCTATTGATGTCTAAAATGATGGATAATGTGAGAATGGCAAATATACTATTTGTCTAATGGCTCTGCAATTAAATTCCCCTGTAAATGACCCATGCCTCATTTCATCCTAATCTATGGAATTTTGATTGAATTCGTCAGCTCTAATTGAAAAATACTGCACTTTAATGTCTGCACTGCAGTTTCAGGACCGCGCTGGTTTTAATGAGACGGTGCCCCTCTGACCCGGGAATATTTTAGACTTTTAGTCGGGATTTTTTTTTTTATTTTTTTTTTTTTTTCTTTTTAACCCGGCCGATTTCTCAGCTGGATTCCACGAAAAGCCGGGATCGAGAGGGTGCGTGGGGTTCGCCAGCACTGAACTCTCCGTGGCGATGTGTTTGGTTAAGATCTCCTGTAAGGCTCTTAAAATACTCGGACTCCGCTAGTTTAAATATGTATCCATTTAAAATAATTTTTTAAAGAGCCTATTTGCCATTATCCGAACGAATTTCGGGATGAGAGCCGGGATTATGGAAGTCAAATTTCTATTTTTTTTTTTTTTTTTTACCTGCACCGTCTTATTTTTTACCCTTTTAGCCTCTTTTTTTCCCCTTACCCGAAAATCCCGAGCACCCTCAAGTTTGTTAAAAAGGGAAGAGGGAGGAGGGAAGGGGGAAAAAAATTTAAAAATAAAACCAGAAAAAATAAGAAGCGCGGAGTGAAAATTGGGGAACCCGCGGGAGGGGCTGGAAGGAGTTCAAAGGGGAACACGCGAGGGAGTTAATGGGATTAGGCGGGGAATGAGGGGTTTGGGGACTGTTTTGGGGTTTGTTTTGCCTTTTTTCCCTTTCCCCTGTGCAGGGCAGGGGGGAGCAAGGAGGGGGTTCCACGCATCCCTCCGTGCACAGCCAGGGGCAAATCCTGAAATCCCTGAAATCCTGCCCTCCCACCCTCCGGCTGGCAGCTCCCAAAACTCTCCCAAAATTCCGGAACAACCCCGGGAGCTGCCTCCATTCCCCGCGGGAGGAGGAGTGCGAGCCGCGGCCGCATCCCTGATTTTGGCTCGCACCTGCATCACTGATAAGAACTCGCTGATTTTGGGGGGTAATTCTGCTAATTCTGCTCAGGTTCTCCTCTCGTGCTCACCTCCCTTTCCTAGGGGGGGAAAAAAATATAAAAAAAGACTTTAAAAGCGCCGCAGGGTGATGCGGTTTGGGTGATTTTAGGGACGTTTCCCACGCCATTAAAATTTCCCCGGCAAACGCAAGAATGAGCTGGAGAGAGGCTCTGGGAGCCCGGGTTTCGCCTTGGAGAAGACCAGCAGCTGGAAATGGCAGCTGGGGGTGCCAGGGCAGGGTGGGCAGCGATCCCTTGGCACGGCAGGCGGGATGTGCCAGGCTGGGGATGCTGTGCCCATGTTGGGGATTCTGTGCCCGGCTGGGGATGCTGTGCCCGTGTTGGGGATTCTGTGCCCGGCTGGGGATGCTGTGCCCATTTTGGGGATGCTGTGCCCATTTTGGGGATGCTGTGCCAGGCTGGGGATGCTGTGCCCGGGTTGGGGATGCTGTGCCCATTTTGGGGATGCTGTGCCCGCATTGGGGATGCTGTGCCAGGCTGGGGATGCTGTGCCCGGGTTGGGGATGCCGTGCCCATTTTGGGGATGCTGTGCCCGCATTGGGGATGCTGTGCCCGGTTTGGGGATGCTGTGCCAGGCTGGGGATGCTGTGCCCGTGTTGGGGATTCTGTGCCCGGCTGGGGATGCTGTGCACGGCTGGGGATGCTGTGCCCATTTTGGGGATGCTGTGCCCGGTTTGGGGATGCTGTGCCAGGCTGGGGATGCTGTGCCCGTGTTGGGGATTCTGTGCCCGGCTGGGGATGCTGTGCACGGCTGGGGATGCTGTGCCCATTTTGGGGATGCTGTGCCCATTTTGGGGATGCTGTGCCCGTGTTGGGGATTCTGTGCCCGGTTGGGGATGCTGTGCACGGCTGGGGATGCTGTGCCCATTTTGGGGATGCTGTGCCCATTTTGGGGATGCTGTGCCAGGCTGGGGATGCTGTGCCCGGGTTGGGGATGCTGTGCCCGGTTTGGGGATGCTGTGCCCACATTGGGGATGCTGTGCCAGGCTGGGGATGCTGTGCCCGCATTGGGAACGCTGTGCCCGGGTTGGGGATGCTGTGCCAGGCTGGGGATGCTGTGCCAGGCTGGGGATGCTGTGCCCGGGTTGGGGATGCTGTGCCAGGCCGGGGATGTTGTGCCCGGGCTGGGGATGCTGTGCCCGGGTTGGGGATGCTGTGCCAGGCTGGGGATGTTGTGCCCATTTTGGGGATGCTGTGCCAGGTTGGCGATGCTGTGCCCGTGCTGGGGATGCTGTGCCTGGTTGGAGATGCTGTGCCCGGGGCATTCCCACCTGGAGAGGTTCCAGCACATCCCAGCGCTCCCTTCTCTCCAAACTGCGTCTCCTCCCTGCAAGGAATTGGGGTTAAAACCCCAGGAGGGGTCACACCCACCCCACAAACTCCCAGCATCGCTGCTGCTCCTCCCCTGCGAGGTTTTTTGGGGACAAACTCTGCCCGAAGCCTCCTGCTCCATCCCGGGTACCGCATTCCCTGCTGGAGCTGGGGCTGCTCCCTCCCCACGGCCCAGCCTGGGGGAAAAGCGCTCCCCCAACCCACCCCGACCCTCTGGAGCGCTCATTCCCCCCAAATCTTTGGGGTTCGCCCCCTTTTTTTGCCTTTTTTCCCCCTCGCTCCTGCTCCACTCCCTGCCACAATCGTGCCCCGCTTGCTCCTGCCACAATCAGGGATCGCCGAGTTTGGTTGGGTTTTTTTGGCTTTTTTTTTTCCTTCGGGAGAAAAAGAAAATCAGCTAATTATGTGCCGAACAAAAAGCCCATTCTTGCCCGAAATAATGCTGCCGTCCTGCAAAGGCACTTGTTTGTGGGCAAATTTTGAAGGGGGCTGACAATAAAAACAGCTGCAGGAGCTGCCTGTTGGTACACATTGCCATTCCTAATTATCCCTGCCCTTCCCGCAATCCTGAAAAAAAAATGGGAATTTTTTTTTCTTTTTTATCTTTTCTCCCAGCTAGAATTCCCAGGTTTTGGGGGGTTTTTTAGCATGGTGTAAAGGGAGGGAGGAAGGAGAGGGATGAGATGCCGGGTGGAGCGCGGGGAAAAGGGGGAAAAAAAATGGGAGAGGAAGAATCCACGAAGCATCCACGGGGGAAACGGGCAATCTCCGGAGCTGCTGCACATATGGTGGCCTCCGCAAGACGGAGCCAGGACATATGGAAATGAGCTGGGAAATCCAACTTTTCCCACTCCCTTCAAGTCGGAGCTGGGCCCCAAAAGTGTTTGTGCACGCACATCACACAAACCCCCCTGCCCATCCCCGGCCCAGCTGCTCCCCTGGCCGGGGAAAATCCTTCCCGCAAAAACCCCAAAATCCTGATGGTGTCAGCACCCCAAAAACTGCAGGGTAGGGAGGGGGATGCAGCAAAAAAATGCGCCGAGACCTTCAAGAAATAACCTGCCCCCCTGCTTTAATTGCAAAGAACGTTTTCAGATGGTGGCTGGGGGATAAACTGACCCAGATATCCGGGCAGGGGCCGGGGGCGATCCCACCCCCACACACTGAGCGGGATTTGGGATGGGAACCTGCGGGAAGGGGGATTTGGGATATTGGGGGGCTGGGAGGGAGCAGCAGGGCATTCCCCAGCGGGATCTCCCGCTGATCCCGGGGTTTTGGGGAGCCTTCCCAAGCGGGATCTCCCGCTGATCCCGGGGTTTTGGGGAGCCTTCCCAAGGGGGATTTCCCACTGATCCCGGGGTTTTGGGGAGCATTCCCAAGCGGGATCTCCCGCTGATCCCGGGGTTTTGGGGAGCCTTCCCAAGCGGGATCTCCCGCTGATCCCGGGGTTTTGGGGAGCAGTCCCAAGCGGGATCTCCCGCTGATCCCGGGGTTTTGGGGAGCCTTCCCAAGCGGGATTTCCCGCTGATCCCGGGGTTTTGGGGAGCCTTCCCAAGCGGGATTTCCCGCTGATCCCGGGGTTTTGGGGAGCAGTCCCAAGCGGGATTTCCCGCTGATCCCGGGGTTTTGGGGAGCCTCCCTCCTGCCACAGCCGCTTTGAGGCGGGGTCTGCCCGCAGAGCCCCCCAGAGCCAAGCGCAGGGGCACAGCCAGCGCCATTGTCCCATTGGGAAATCTTCAACTTGCCAAAGGCAGGAGGGATCCCACCCACCCCCAGGCAAGTCCCCTCCTTTCTCTTTTTTTTTTTTTTCCCTCTCCTTCTTTTATTCTTTTTTTTTTCCCTGCATTTAATTTTATTTTCCAAACCACTTGATCTTTGCTTGGGAACCTCCATTAATTGCCTGGGTTTGCCTCTTCGCCTGGTCCCTTTATCATTATTTATGGCCTTTGAAATTGTGTAAAGTTCCCTTGACGTTCAATTTACAAGTTTGGGGGCTTTTTTTTTTTTTCCTTTTTCCCCCCTTTTTTTTTTCCTTTTTTTTTGTTCCAGCTTTTGTCCTCGCCAAAGACGTCGTGTTGGAAAAGGCTTTGAGCCGGCCAACATGAGAAGCTCGCCGGAGAAAAAGGGAGCAGCCCCTCCATCGCTTTTAATTCCGCCGTGTTGCTGAATGGCTCTTTTACATAATTGCAGAAGCAATTTCAAAGCCAAGCCAGGGGCTGACTTTACCCAGAACCACATGGAGCCTATTTGGGGGCTTTTCAAAAAAAAAAAAAAAAAAAAAAAAAAAAAAAAGAGGGAAAAAAAAAAGAGAGAAGAGAAAGAGAAAAAAAAAAAAAAAAGAAAGAAAGGGGGGAAAAAAAGAAGGGACGGGGAAAAAGAGGAGGTGAGCGTGAATTAAAATAAAAAAATTTTTAAAAAAGGGGGGAAAGGGGGAAAATAGGAAAAAAGGGAAAAAAGTGGAAAAAGCGAAAAAAGGAAAAAAGGGGAAAAAAGAAAAAAAGGGAAAAAAGGGGAAAAAAGGGAAAAAAGGGGGAATAAGGAAAAAAAGGAGAAAAAAGGGAAAAAATGGGAAAAATGGGGGAAAAAAGGAGAAAAAAAGGGGAAAAAATGAAAGAAAAAGAGTAAAGGAAAAGGTTTAGGGAAAGCAGTGCTCCGGGGTTCGGGAGGCAGCGCGGGGCTGTCCCGGTGTCCCGGCCGGAGCCGCGGAGGTTCCGCGGGCGGTCCCGCGTGGGCCGCGCCGTCCGGGGCGCCGTGAATGGGGCGTGCCATCGGGGGCGTGGCCTCGCCGCCAAGCCCCGCCCCCTACCCCTCTCCACCAATGGGAGACGGCGGCGGCGGCCACGTGGGGCGGGCCGGGTTCCCAGGCGGCCAAAATGTGAATGGGCGCGGGGCAGCGCGGGCGGGCAGAGCGGCGGCGGCGGCTCCGCGGGGGCGCAGCGCGGGCGGGGCGGCCCCGAGGTGCGGGAGCTGCCGGGCCGCGGCCCCGCTCCGCCCCGGCTCGGCCCAGCGGCCAGCACGCCGCCGCCGCCGCCGCCGCCGAGCAGCGGCAGCAGCCTCGGGACGAGCGGGAGGAAGAGGAGGAGGAGGAAGGTGCCGGCTCTCCCGCTCGCTGCCGCCGCCGCCGCCGCTCCGGCATGAGCGCAGCTTTCCAGCCCTCGCTGATGATGATGCAGCGCCCGCTGGGAAGCAGCACGGCCTTCAGCATCGACTCTCTGATCGGCAGCCCCCCGCCGCCCGCCCCCGGGCACTTCGTGTACACCGGCTACCCCATGTTCATGCCCTACCGGCCCGTGGTGCTGCCGCCGCCGCCGCCGCCGCCGCCCGCGCTGCCGCCCGCGCTGCCGCCCGCGCACCCGCAGCACCACCCGCTGCCCAGCCTGCCCTCCGGCTTCTGCTCCAGCCTGGCGCAGGGCATGGCGCTCACCTCCACGCTCATGGCCACGCTGCCCGGCACCTTCCCCGCGTCCCCGCAGCACCAGGAGGCCGCCAGGAAGTTCGCGCCGCCGCCGGGCAACTTCGAGAAAGCCGAGGGCATCCCCCCGGACGGCGGAGGCGACGATGGAAAAGCTTTCCTGGGCAAGGACGGAGCGCTGCTGCCCTTCCCCGCCGCCGACGCCGTGCAGGCTTCCCTCGGTGAGTGATGGAGCGGGGATAACGGGGGGCAGCGGGCGGCAGCGAGGGCTGAGCTCTCGGTAGCATCGGAGCGAGCGGAAGGTAGGGGAAAAAAAAAAGAGGGAAAATACAAACTAAAAAAGGGGGTGGTCAGAGCGTGGTTTTTGGGGCGCCGGGACGCTAACGCGAGGCCTCTGCTCCCTTGCAGCCGGGGCTCTCCGCGGCCAGGGCAAGGAGGACGCCAAGGCGGAGGAGGAGGCGAAAGGCAAGGAGGAAAGTTTCTCCATGGACAGCGATCTCGATTACAGCTCGGACGACAACATCGCCGGGCAGGCGGCTCACAAGGAGGAGGACTCGGGCGCGGCGCTGGAGGAGAGCCCGCAGAGCGCGCCCGGCGCCGGCAGCACCACGGCCACGGGCAAGAACCGGCGGCGGCGAACGGCCTTCACCAGCGAGCAGCTGCTGGAGCTGGAGAAGGAGTTCCACTGCAAAAAGTACCTGTCCCTCACCGAGCGCTCCCAGATCGCGCACGCCCTCAAACTCAGCGAGGTGCAGGTGAAAATCTGGTTCCAGAACAGGCGGGCCAAGTGGAAACGGGTCAAGGCGGGCAACGCCAACTCCAAGACGGGGGAGCCCTCGCGGAACCCCAAGATCGTGGTGCCCATCCCGGTGCACGTCAGCAGGTTCGCCATCAGGAGTCAGCACCAGCAGCTGGAGCAAGCCCGACCCTGATCGCTCTCCATCCCTCCCTCCCTCCCTCCCTCCCGCGCTCCGTTTTTCACGGGAAAACTTCCCAAACCCGGGGTTTGAAGGCGACCCGCCCGCATAAAAACAAAAACGAGAGAAGCAGAAAAAACCCCAAACCCACAAAACCCAACAACAACAAAAACGCACCGCAAAAAACAGCACGAAAAAATAAGAACCCCGCGTTGTGAGCGCCCGGCGAGTCCCCAGCACGGGCGAACTTTAAAGCGAAACTTTGCGCTCGCGAGGGGAAGAGGCTCGGGAAGTGTTTGGGAAATGTCGGAGCGGGGATATCCCGGCTGGAAGAGGCGCACAGAGCCCTCCCCGCCCCAGAACAGAGATATTTATTATTGCCAGGCCGCCCTGGATCCCCCGGCCGGAGCGTCCCCAGCGAGCCCCGCCGCGCCTTTTGGCACCTTTGGGGTTTTCTTTCTTATTCGGGGGCGAAAGGTAAAAAAACATAAGCAAAAACAAACCGACAAAAAGACGAGAGAACAAACAGACAGACAAAAAAAAAAAACGGAGAGAAAACTCAGAGTTTCATTTCATGCCTTTTTTATTGTTTGGTTTTATTGCCGATGGCTGAGTGGCAGGCACTGGGGAATGAGTTTTTAAAATCTTTTCTTTTTTCTTCTTTTTTCTTTTTTTTTTTTTGCCTGGCTTTCTGTCGATTTGGTTTGCCTATTCTACCAAGCCATGTTTAAAGGAGAGAAGGGGAGGGAGGGTGGGAAAAAGGCAAAAAAAAAAAAAAAAAAAGAAAAAAGAGAGAAAAAAAAAAGCAGCACGATCTTCACTATTGTGTTTAATTTATTTCAATGTAGCTTATTTCCTTATAAGTTATGAAATTTAAAAGCAAACTAAGTCTTGTGAATAAAAACCGACAAAGAAACAAAAAAAGACTTTAAAAGGAAAAAAAAAGAGCCAAAAACGCCCTCCAGCCCCCGGCTGCTCTGCCCAGGATTTGGCGCTGAGCTGATTTTCCTTTCCCCTCCTGCGCTGCCGGAGCGGAGCAATAGCTGCTCTCGCCTCTATTTCCGATTTTCTGCTTTTGTGGTTGTTTTTCATATTTTCCTAGCCGCGTTTATTGCCGGGGAGGGGGGAGCCGGGTGGAAAACTTTCTCTTTTTTGTTGTTTTTTTTTTTTTTCCTATTCCCCTTATTTTGAGGGTTGAGAAAGCTCCAAAAAAAACCCCCAAAAATCTGTTTGGCAGTGCCTGCTCGGGACTGGGGGGCAGAGCTCCCCGCACCCTCCCGGCTCTGACCCTGCCCGCGTTTTGGGGGTGCCGCTTCTCCCTCCCGCCCCCAGCCGGGGTTTGGGGTCCCTTTGCTCCCCCAGCCTCGTTTTTGGGGATTTTTTGGGGGGTGCAGCCGCTGCCCCAAACCCCGCGCCCGCTTTCGTTGCGGCGGGGCTGGGAGGGCTCGGGGCCGAAGGGTCCCGCGTCTCCCCTTCCCTTCCCTTCCCTTATCCTTTTCCCTTTTCATCGCTTATTGTTTTTTCCCCTTCCCCATTATCCCGGCTCCATCCGTGCCGGTGCCGCCGTGACATCGGCGGCGGCGATTTGGGATTAAAAATGAAATTTTCCCCAGGAAAACGGAGCGGCGAGGGGGGGTTTTGGTGGGAGGTGAGGTCTATTCAAATGAAACAATTAAATCTGGGGATGGGGGGGGGTTCGCTCTGTCCCGGGACAGGCTCCCAGGCTCGGCCGCGCCACGCCGCTCGCGCTTCATCACTAATTTATTATAATGATTATAATTAATGCTGTTATTTGATGTTGTTTGGGTCGGAGGGGGTTTGGCCGTGGCTCCGGGGGTGCACGGGGGTGAATGGATCCGTTTCCATCCCCACCAGCCGCTCCCCAAAAAAGCCAAACCCCGGCCAGCATCGCCCCACGGGCAGCGCGGACACGCGGGGAAACGCGCGCCGTTCCAGCCTGCTTTAAAAAGCTTCAAAACGCTCTAAAAAGCTTTTTTAAAAGCGGAATATTCATGATAATGAAGATCATATTTTCGGGGGTTCGCCGGGAGCCGCGGGAAAACACGCGTGGGACCAACCCCCCGCAACACCCCCGGCGCTGCTGCTGCTGCTGCTGCTGCTAAAAACAAAAATAATCATTCTGGAATTGCTGGGATTGATCCCGGCCGGATCTCGGGGCTGCCCGGGCAGCGCGGAGCCTGCAGAACTCCGGGCTGTGCCCCCAAACCGGAGGATGCGCCCCGAAACCGGGGCTGCATCCACAAAGTAGGGAATGCACCCCAAAACCGGGGGATGCATCCACAAACCGGGGATGCACCCCAAAACCGGGGGATACACCCCAAACCGGGGTGCGCTCCCAAAACCGGGGCATGACCCCAAACTAGGGAATACATCCCCAAACTAGGGGATGCACCCCAAAACGGGGTGTCCCAAACCGGGCGATGCACCCCAGAGGCGGGCCGTGCACCCCAAATCTGGCTGTGCCCCCTGAAAGCGGGGGATGCACCCCAAATCTGGCTGTGCCCCCTGAAAGCGGGGGATGCACCCCAAATCGGGCTGGATTCCCCAAACGGGGCTGTGCTCCCCAAAACTGGGGGATGCGCCCCAAACCGAGATGTGCTTCCCAAACCGGGCTTGACTCATTAAACCGGGGTACGACACCAAACTGGGCTGTGCTCCCCAAACCGGGCTGTGCCCCCCAAATTGAGCCGTGCCCCCAAACCCGGCTGTGCCCCCCAAATTGAGCCGTGCCCCCCAAACCGGGCCGTGCCCCCAAACGGGGCTGCCGGTGCTGGGTTTTGGGGAGGAGCGGCCGCCGCTCAGCCCCGTTGCCCCGGGGATCCCCCCGGTCTCCGGGAGTCTCCGGGTCCCCCCAAGCCGGAGCGGGGCCGGAGGGGAAGCCCCGGGCCGGGGGCCGGAGGAGAAGGAGATAAACAAGCGAGGGGGTTGATAGCTGTCATCATCACCATCATCATGGCTTTCATTTGGCTGCCTAATGAGTCAGATCACAGGCAGAGAGAAAAATTGTCAATCGCCCGGGCTCTAATGAATTTTTTTGCAAATTGTAATCAAGCCAGGCCGTCTCAGCTCGCTGATTAATGAGACCCAGGAGGCCCGGCCAGCACCTCAGCTTTTTATTCCATCCCGTCCTCCCCGCACTAAATTAACAGCAACTTGTCTGAGCTTCAAATTAACTCCCAATGATTAATTCTGATGGGGGGGTCTGAAGAATAGCTCGTCCTAATAGGCGCTGGCCTCTGATGCTGTTTGAAATTAATACACTTCCCCTTTGGCTGCCGGCTTTAATCCAAGGCTGGGCTTTGACATCACTATATTTGTTGTTACAATAAATTCCTCTTACATCTGCAGATCAAATAATCGCGGGGCTCGGGGAGCAGCGGCGGCAAACCCGAGCTCGGAGGGGACGGGGAGCTTTCTCCTCTCTCTGCTGCAAACCCGGCTTTGCGTTTAGCCACAAATGGGGATTTTTAAGGCAGCGGGGCTGGGATGGCGCTGGGATGTTAAATGAGACATCATCGCCTTTAAATCCCCCCCGCACCCAGCGCGGCTCGGTTCTGTGTGTCCCGCATTAATTGCTCTCATTATCCCAGCCCGGTCCGGCTTTTCCTGCCTTTTCCCTGCCCCGGGAATGTGCCAGGACCCGGCCGGGGCTGCGGAGAGGGACGGGGGCTGCGCTCCCTTGGGAATGCCCTGCCGAGGGACCGAGCGTCCCCCGGTGCCCCCCGGCACTGCCCCCACCCCCGAGGTGTCCCGGGGCCGTGTCCCCTCCGTCCCGCACGGAATCGCATCCCGGTGCCACAAAGCACCGCCCGAGCAGCGCCGCACGCACGGAGACAACCTGTGTGAATCCGTAAAAATGGATCGCTCATCCCAAAGCCTCGGGCAGCGCGGAGATCCCGCCGGGTCCGTGTCCCCCCGTGTCCCCCCGTGTCCCCCCTGTCCCCTCGGGGGTGCCGGGTCCCTTCCGTGCCCCGCTCGCCCGCCCCTCGCTTGCTCTTTTCTCCCTCCCGCTACGCCCGGCCCATAGAGAGCCTTAATCTGTTTATTTCGAGCCACTTCATCCTCCTGGCCGCCTTTGTGCCTCTGGCTTTGTGGCAGCACCGCGGAGGCTTGAAAAGCGCCTTCCCCTAAAGCCCGAGGTCTCCTTGGCTGCCGGCGTGACAATGGCTGAAACAGGATTACACTGACCTGATCCCATTAAACTCGCCCGTGCATCGGGGCCGCCCTCGCTCCCTCCCTCCCTCCCTCCGGCCCCAACTTCGCTCGCACAACTTTCCCCGGGCCGGAGGGGAAGCCAAAAGCCGTCCCCCGAGCAGCCCCGATGATGGAGCAAGGATGGAGGGATGCAGGGACGGAGGCTGCTCCTGTTTTCTTGGCTTGTTGCTCTTTTTTTTTTTTTAATTTTTTTTTCCCTGAACCACGTGGATTTTAAACCTCAGCTTCATCTCCCAGGGCTCATAACTAAAAGGCGGCGTTTCCTCGGCTGCCGGTACTGGCAGGAGATCGAGTTAAACCCGCACAGGGCGATTTTAGCAATAACCAAAACCTACAGAATTCCGTGCAATTCCTACAGATTTAAACCCTGCCGTGAGGGGCGTGTGGGGCACCGCGTTCCGCTTTTTCCAGCCTGGGGGAAACCCTGGGGATGCTCATCCCGCATCCCTGGGGGCATCCCCGGAGCATCCCCGGGCACGGAGCGAGTCCCGGCTGCTCCCAGGATGCTCCCAGGATGCTCCGAACGGGAATTCATCCCCCGGGGCAATAATCGCCAGGCAGGGGGATCGGGCGGTGGAACCGGGAGTGTTTTAAGCTGAGCTGCCCTGAGTCAGAGCCCTAAAACCACGCTGGAAATGGGAATTTCAGCCCCGAGTGGCAAAGGGCCCACGGCCGGCTTTTAGTGCTCACATCTATTAATGAACCCAGCAAAAGACAACCCGGGGATTCCCGGTGATCATTTTCATCATACCACTCTCCTGTGTGGTGCCACCTGCCTG